GTAGTTAGACTTTCCTTTCCACTGCCAGCCCCAAATAACTACGTGGAAACTTATTATTAATTATGAAAGCTTGGCCTTGTTTCACTAGCTCTTATACCTTAAATCAACCCATTTATTTTAATCTACATTCTGTCTCATGGCCCGTTACCTCATTTCTCCCTACACTTCAGGCTGCTTCCTCCTTGTCTGGCTGGCCACCTCGCCTTTCTTCTTCCCTAGTTCTCTCTGTCCCCAGAAGCCCCACCTAACCTCTTCCTACCTAACTATTGGCCATTCAGTTTTTTATTAAACCAATCACAGTGACACATCCTCACATGGTGTAAAGGAATATTCTGCAACACGCCACAAGGCAAATGTTTCTCTAAGCCGTTTTATGTATGAAGAGATTAAAGTTCTGGGGGGTGGTCAATGAAGCCACCTGTGAGGGATGGCAGCTAATAAAGGGTAAAGGTCACTGAGTAAAACACTAGCCCTTGCTAGGGACAGTTTCCTACCATGAAGAGAAACCCGGGGTGGGGCTTAACCCACAAAAATTCATCCTCTCCCTCTTCTGGAGGCTGAAAGTTGGAGATCAAAGTCTGCCAGGGCTGGTTTCCTTCAAGGGCTGGGAGGAAAGGTGTTTTCCAGGCGTCCACACTGGGCATGCAGGCAGACAGTCCTCTCCTCTCCTCTCCTACCGTGTGTCCATTCGTCTCCACTTCCTCTGTGTGTACACATTGACACCCTCCTTTAGAACAGTGTGATCTCTTCATAACTACCATATCTGCAAGGACACTCTTTCCAATGATCAAATCCAAAAGTGCCATCCCTAGGGGTTAGGACATCAATATATGAATGGACCAGGAGCAGCAGTCAGGCCGCAGGACTGCCTCCTTCAGTTTGCACAGAGAGGCCACGTGAGAAGGATCCAGACAGGCCAGCAATTCCCTGCTGTGCTGTGAGCACAGTGAGATCAAGTCAGGAGAGAGAGGAGTCAAGTTGTAGAGATGTTCTGGGGAAGAGGAGAGAGAGCGGCACTGGGTAACAGGTGGGAGAGGAGTTTGTCTTGGGGCGGTAGGGGCCGCTCCTTCATTACAAGGAGGTCTGGGAGGAATGAGATCCTATGTAGAGTGAATCTATGCAGAGGACGGAAGTTGAGGAACTTTGCTTCCCATGATGCCGCTGTTTTCTTTGTCTTTCCATATCTATATGTATATGTATATCTATAAAATACTGGGTTGCGTGAGACTATTTAGGTGCAAGCATATAAATGTACTCTGATCATACCCTCCCCCATATTCCTCCTCCCTCCCTTTCTCATTTCCCCGATTATCTTGACCCCCTAAACAGTTTTCTTCTTCTTTTATGACATATGGATATACATGTTTTTATGTATCTATATGAAATCTAAGAACCACAAATGATAGATGTGGGAGAGCCCAGCCCACTGTATGTGATGTCACCCCTGGGCCATTGGTCCTGGTTTGTATCGGAAGTCATGGAGAGCCATGCAGTCTTCCGTGGTTTCTGCTTCAGTTCCTGCCTCCAGGTTCCTGCCTTGAATTCCTGCCCTGACTCTCCTCAGTGACACACTGTGACAAGGATGTCTAAACCACTGACCAGTGGGACCAAGGCCTTTTACGGGGACCTTTGGGGAATATTTAACATCCAAGCTGGCACCAATCACGTGCATAACTATGTGGTGGTTTACCCCTTCCATCCGTGTGCTATGTATGCTCTGTGGCAACTTAAAAACACAGCCGCTCATGAGTTCACTTAGAGATTAGACTTTATCACCTCGACCTTCTGAGACTGCAGATCTTGCCTTAGCTGCCACATTTCAAATAACCATGGCCGCTAGCGTAAATATTCCCATTACTATTTCATATCACACTATATTAAAAGCCGTCACGTCATGTCTCCTAGTTACTCGAATCACTGTTGATTTCCTCATGTCCAGAGTGTATCTGGATATGGGAAGCCCAGAAACTTTTCAGAAGAGTGATGGCGTGCTAAAGTTATTCCTGGTACAAAATGCTTAAAACTAAAAAGAAATATATGCATATAAATACGATACCTTCCTTGTGGAGACATACGCTGCCCTGGGAAACCATAGAAAAGTCCCCATTAAAGTTAAAACATGCACACACATCACAGTGCACCTCTGCCTCAGTTTATGTCAACACAGATAGGGAACGGCCTCCATAGCAGTGCTATTCAAAACTGGCCTAGCACTAGAGAAAACTTCACTGTGCATTGGCAGTAAGGTGGTGGGCGTGGCTGCTGTGACCACACACCATAAGATCCACACAGGGCAGCTCCAAGCTCTAGGCAGCAGAAAGAGCATCGGTGAATCTCATCAACGCACTCGGTGTGGTGCCTGATCTACTTCTGCCAGTTTACACGTAAAGAAAACCAGGAAGAGAGACTGTGATGTCACCTCTCAAGCAGCCTACTGCTGAGAAGAAATTTAAACAGAAAATTGCTATAATTGCTAAGTGGGGACCCCCCAAAAATATTTCTAATACTGTTTTGCTTTGCTTATGTAGAGATTAAAAAATCGTGACAGGTATTACATGTAATTAATTTTCCTTTTACTTTCAGTATATGTGTGTGTGTGAGTGTGTGTGAGTGTGTTTCTGACATTGTTGGGAGCTGTAAAATAAAAGATTTACGTTATGTCAGATAGTATATTTTTCCAATAATAAATTTGAAACATCTCCCCACCCCAAAATGGGATGTTGAAGATAAGAGTGTACACTATAGTCCTATATACTTAAGAACTATAGCTTACACCAAAATTCTGGCAAGCAAAACTTCTATGTTGCTTTAGGACCATTGAGACATTCACAATTTCACATTGGAACATGTGACACCAGTAGAACTGGTCCCCAGGCTCAGTCTCCATGCCATGTTTCAAGTGCCTTCATGCCCTGGGCATACACCTCCCAGCCTTAAGGTCTACTTTCATCCCATACCTACTGCTCAGGAAGGTGAGGCAGAGGGAAAGGAAGTGTCTAGAATCACTGGACTGGGATCACTAATGTCCTCTAAGTTGGCACATGGTCTTGAAAGGCAGGCATGGTCTCCATGCTCACTAACTCTTGGCCCGAGACTCATTTAGAAGGTGCATGACTGGCAGGAATTCAGAATCCAAAGCCCATGACTCTACACAGAATCTTCCTTGCCTGGAGCTAAGGTCAGCACTGCTTTTTGTAGAGAAAGGGTAGTAGAGACCCCAGCGGCACAGGTCTGCAGTCCCAGCTATGCAGGAGTCCAGGGAGGCAGACCACTAGCTCCAGGCCAGCCCGAGGAACTGAGGCCTGGCTCAGTAAGAAGTAAAGAAGTCTGGTAATGCAACTTATTAGTAAAGCATTTCCCAAGCAAGCATGAACCCCAAGGTTTAATCCGCAGTACTGGACAGAAAATTTAAAAAGCATGGGTCGGGAGATTTCACTGAAACTTTCCAGGCTCCCAACACTGCTGCATGGCTTTTTCTGGGTGTCAAGTACATTACTCACAATTCATTAAGGTCTACCTACCTTTGTTGTGTTTCATCTATATGTATGTTATATTCACACACACACATACACACACACACACACACACACACTTACACATACAAATATAATTATGTAATTCCTGATGCTGTACTCTCTGATTTCCACAAACAGAACTCAGTCCTAAGTGATTGCCTTGTAAACACAGACGGTTTGGCCGTTAGAATGTGTGCAGGTGTGAGGACCTTCAGGGACACGAACAGGATGCCGGGAATGGACCTGTAGCTCCTGCTGGCTCTCTGCTCCGTTGGGGGTGGAGAAGCTTGGGTAACCATGCATGGGTTCAGCAGAGCAAATGAGCCACAGGCGCTTGTCCCCTTGCCATGCCACTGCAAATGTCTTAGAGGAAAATTCCTTGCCCTCCTCCTTGCCAAGAGGAGAAAATACTGTGTTTACGGAGCTAAATTGCAGGAGGCTGTTACCATCCTGGTAGAAGCCGTGGAGAGCGACTCCCATTGCCCTCTGCTCGGAACGCAGCCCTAGAAATGCTTGTCTTCCTCACAAGGACAGCTGAGAGGGTTCAGGAGAGAGTTAGCTCAGCAGTTACTGTGGACCAGATCCATTCCTCAGTTTGGGGCTCCAACACCTACCTCATTTTGTTCTTGACAGGGAAACACTTTACTCTTGCAATGATTCAGATTGCCAGTTCTCAAACAGATTTCTACATAGTGTGTGTGGTTTAACTATCCGGGTTTTCCTAAGATTGTCTACTTTAATATCACACACACACACACCACTTCAAAACTGAATCTTACAGCCGTGAGGAGCTGAAAATGAAGTAAAGTATTGGCCGGCCAGCACTATACCTCTGAAAGCCCAGTTGATTTTTCTTCCAAATTAAAAAAAAAAATCAGAATCCAAGATTTGTATCCAAAAACTGTTTAAAATTCATATTTCCAAATGTCCCTTTTTTCTCCTTGGGGGGAAATTTGAAAAACACATGGCTTGGGTGACCCTCACAAGCTCCCAGTAACAGAGAAAGCAGGCCATGGAGGACACTTCAAACAGACAAACAGGAACATGATGAACTGGTTTAAATGGAGATTTGAGGTGAGGCAAAAGGTGCGGGAGAGCAGAAAGCAAGGTAAAGCCGTGACTAAAGCCGTGGATCCTAGACAGTGAAGAGCCCTTTGACCCCCATTCCTGTCACATCTTCCACTTTTCTCTGGTCTCTGAGTTCTCTCTTGACACCCAAGGTGCCCTTCATTACACATTTCACTTTGTCCAGAGTGTGCGCTGCTTAAGGGTAGAACCATGTTTTATTGTCTTTGACATTTAAGTAGACATAGCAGGAACTTTCTACGCTGATGTGCATCCCCGAACAAATGAATGGTGGATTCCATTCATGACCCTGCAGAGTTGGCTTTCCCAGCTACTAAGACGTGACCCTGAAGTGACAAAAATGACTTGACCCTTTCCAGAGTTTTAAACACCTTTCCATTTCCAACTTGTGTCTTCCAGGTTGGTGAACTGTGAACCTCTGAGGGCGGACACTGGCAGAGAGGCACCCCAACATTCTTCAAGGGGAGCTATGACAAGGAGGAGACAGGCCGGCAGCCTGCAGCCCTGGGACCATCCTGCAGCTCCAGAGCTCCCGCGCTCCTTAAGAGACGATGTGGGCGAGGGTGAGTACCGGCAGAAAACACGTTTTGTGTGATTCTCTTTTCCCCAGTGTCAGGAAGACCTGATTCTCGCAAACAATGGGATGGTTGCTGTTCCAAGCCTAGAATTGCTTATCTGAAGAGAAAACACTCATTATGGGCCTTCAGGTTTGGCTCTGTTTGGTGGGTTTTCACATGAATATGCCAATGTGCACAGGAAATCGGGTTCCCACCTGAAGGCTCTGTTGTCGTCACCTGGATAAAGAGAGACTTAGGAGAGCAGGTGCCTGGGCAAATCGGGAAGAGTCATTAGAACTATTCAGAGTGAATGGCCTAGCAAGGAATATTCAGAGTGAATGGCCTAGCAAGGAAGTAGCCTCTATGTGTGCATGTGTGTGTGTGTGTGTGGCATCTTTTCTGTGCTGATCATGCTGAATTACTCCATTCATATTAAAGCACTCTACAGGAAAACTGACTTGCCCTTGGGTAGCAGCAGTTCAGATTAAATTGTCCAGCTGTTTCTAATGGTTCAGGCCTATGATACCAGCTCCTTGGGAGGTTGAGGCAGGAGGAGCAGAAGTTCAAGACCTACCTGGTCTTGAGCTCACAGAATGAGCTCAAGGCCAGCTAAGGAACCTTAGCAAGACTGCTTCAAAGTAAAAAGAGGGCTGGGGGTACAGCTTGGTGGCAGAGTGCTTGCTGAGCATGAGGGAAGCTGTGGATTCAAGGATTCAATCCCAAGCAACACACACACACACACACACACACACACACACACACACACACAGGAAAATCAATGCATCTATTTAAATACAGATTCCTAAAGGCTCTTAAAAATAAATAGATAAACTTGTATGCAACTATACCCATTGACTGACTCCTAAAAATGGCAGGGATCATGGCATGGTATAGTGTCCCTGGAGGCCACAGAGAGCTATGGTTTGGACCCCACTGTCCTATTTAATAGTGACAGTTGAGAGCCAGCTGCTCGGCTTCTTTAGATCCCTGTCCCAAAAGTTATAAAATGGTGATGGGGTGGGGGCTATTTAGAGGCTGAAAAGAAAACTTTTAAAGTGATGTGCTCTAAAGGAAAAGCTAGTTCTTCTGACCGGTCACCAGACAGCTGTTTTCCGTGTTATACAAATCAGCACCAACTGCAGACAAATAGAAAAACCACCGAGCAGTTACAACACTCAGAGAGATCTAAATTAACTATTAAAGGAAATAAAAAGTTTGCCCTGGAAGTCATTAAAAACCACTTGAATTTTTACACTACTATGGTGTTTTAAAATAAAGTAATGACTTCTTTAAAATCCCCGTCATTCTGCATAAGCCAACCTGGGGTACCGAGTGAGCCCCTGTCTTAAAAACAAACAAAACCCTTCCATAGTGATAGGATGTTAGGACAAAAATCTGTCACAGAACCCAACACTTCCGAGGTTTTCATTCAGCTAAAACACCAATCCGAATAGGAATAATTCACTAGAAATTGGAAATATCTGCTAAAAACTTCCAAATTAACACAATATCAACTTCTTTATAGATAGGGCACCAAACATTAGCTTGTCTGTCTGACTTTTTAACAGCTACTTGGCCAGATCTACTGAAACAAAAACAGGGACCGAAAGTAGGAGAGACAGAAGCACTCTCTGCCGCAGCCAGTGCTTGGTTCCATTTGAGCCCTGGGATAAACACCAGCACTGGGCTGTTTCAAATGCATGGTGATCTTCAACTTTGGCATGTGAGACCCCGAATCCAGACATGTTCACTGCTGGGAATCTTCAGTGCACTTTAGTCAATTTGTCTTTTGAGAATCTATTCCAAGGCTTCTGGTAGATCTTTTCCTTATCATTGAATTTATTTCAACACCCCAAAACACACACACACACAACACACATACAACATTCACACACACAACATGCACATTCACACACAACACACAAGCTTGCATACACACACAACACAGACAGAGACACAACGCACACAGACGCACACACAAACACACACACATACACACGCACGTACACACACACACCACTCCGTACTAGCAAAAGCAGAATGTAATACTCAGGCTTTACTTCAAATCATGTAAATTTTCACCTTTCGGTCAGTGGAATTTAAATATCTGGAAATGGTTATCATGACCTGAAGAACGAGGGCATTTGTTCATCGCTATGTCTACTTCTAAAGCAAATGTTTCTATCGCGTGTGGGAAGGAGCATGCATCTCTAAGATCTGCCAGGCTGCTCTCAAATCCCAGCCCTGCCACTAGAAAGCAGTGGGGCTTCAGGAAGGTATTTAGCTGCTCTGGGCTTAATTGACTTCACTCACAAAATGAGGATGAGAAGGGTCCTCGTCTGGAAGAGCGGTTGTGATGATCAAGCAGGTAAAGTACTTCTAATATGATGGCCATATTCTAGGCCCCCAAGATCTTCTTATGACACCCGAGACACAGAAGGCTCACACACCCAGGAGAGAGAGGAGAGGCGGGGTGTGAGGAAACCGCTACTGAGAGCTGGGCCTTGGGACCCTGTTTTAGACACGTCTCGGTGGCCCTCCTAAGTGTCCCGGTTTCTGCTTCCAACAGCCACAGTGAAGATTCCCAGACACTGCATAGTTTCAGTGTTAAGGCTTCATGCCGGAACTGAGAATCAACATGAGTTGAAAATTGCTCAGATGCTGGTTTGGCCAGGACCATCCTTTGGGAAAACCTGTGCATATGTTATAAACACTCTCGAAACTAAGCCTCATTGGGGGGGGAAAAAAAAGCCAAACTCAGCAAAGAAAAACAGGGCCAGAGGCCATTGTTCAAATATGACGTCAGCAGGCAGTGGACCGGTCACATCACACCTGCAGGGTCATCTGAGGGCTGTAGAAGGGCTAGGCACCCTTTGCAGAGTTGTTTGAATTTGATTTGTTTTCACAGAGCTGGGAGTTAAACATTTACCCAGGCGCACCTGGGGAGGACGAGGAGGCCGGCTCAGAGGCGCTGTCAGCAGCTAAGTTCTCCCGTTGGCATTCAGGCCCTGGCCCCACACAGGAAGGCAGGAAGCTGACCACTGGAGTGAAGAACGGTGGTTAATCTGAGGACAAAAAACCAGCTCATACTTCACAGAGACTGAAATAGTCCGCACACATTGCCCTTTCTTCCCAGTAGATACAAGTTCAGTGCAGGGCCAAGGTTGACATTTATTTATTCTGTGTGCTTAAGTCTGCTTAAGAGGCAAAGGAGATGTTTGTCAGACCCAAAGGAAACTCAGGTTCCCCAGACTCCAAAGGGCAGTCCTCGTACCCAGAAATGAGCTCAAGAGGGACTATAGGATTTCTAGCATGAGAGAAATGCCAGTATTTCTCAGGAGCTTGTAAACCAGTCCCCATTTAGCAAGAAGAGTCATTTCACTGCCCTCTGGCAGAAGGGACGTGTGGCACCTATAAGTATGTGCTGGCCTCCAGGCCCCCTCAGTATCACAAGTGCTTGTTATACATTTCAAAATCCATGATTCTGGATTCCTCTTTTATTCTAAAATTCCTCCAGCTTATGACAAACCCTCATCCTAATAACCCAGCTATTTTCGCTATACTTCCTATCTCATCTGTCTGTCTGTCTATCTATCTATCTATCATCTATCTATCTCGTACTCCCAATCTCTCTCTGTGTCTATCTATCTATCTATCTATCTATCTATCTATCCATCCATCCATCCATCCATCCATCTATCTATCTATCTATCTATCTATCTATCTCTTACTCCCACTCTCTCCCCCCCCCACACTCTATTTTATATTTTCCATCTCACTAGCCCTTCTCTCCTCCCTTGCATTCAATGTAGAGGTGACTGGTCACATGTTCTTCAACCATTCTTTAAACTGTAACCTTTGAGGGATGTAGAAATGCTCTCTGGCGAGAACTGCCATCCTTGCTTCCAGTTTCTACCGTGCAAACTAAGGATTACCTTAATTCTATTGGACCCCTATAAGCTTAAATAAAAAAGTAGACGACACAAAAAGGCACCCAAGAAGCGTTCACGCATGCTCTTCCCTCTGTCTCAGATCGCTCTCCAGCAGCACTTGACTGTGGTTGAAGTAGACATGGAGGCTTCATCTAACTTGAGGGAGAATGTTTAACAAAGCTTAGGTACTCAGAATCACTGGTAACGACAGCTGTGGCACAGGCGCCCAGACCCTACCCATTCTTGGTGACTTTCATTCATAGCATCCAGGGTGGGGCCCCGGAATGAACCATTTTATTAGCAGTTCAGTGCGGCAAATCTGAAGGCTTCTGACTGAGACCATCTTGAGCCGAATATGAAGCTCTACGCTCTGTTAGGCCCATGATGACGTGACACCTGCAGATGATTCTGCTGCCCTTGCTGTCCTGGATTCTATGCGTGCAGTAGACATGCATCACAGCACATCTTGAAGACCTCTTCCTCTTGCACAAACATCAAGTCTTCCAAAACTAAAGCATGTACAGACCATGTTAGTTAAAGCATGAAACCAATTCTCCCTCTGGTCCTCTGGTCTTACTGAGGTGTAAATCAGGCCCCCAAAGAAATTTAGTATAAATGGGCATTTTATTTAAGGGTGTGGATCCCCTGGGCTTATCTGAGGAATAAGAAGAATATTCGAGCATGGAGTGACTTGCAGGGGTGAATATAGCCAGCTGCTATATTCTGGACCACGGCTTCACCTTCTCCTCAGCTGGCATTGCTGAAAGGTGTCTATATCTCATTATAACTCACGAAGTCCAGCTCTGGGATTTGCCCGTCCGGAAGACGGACTAAGGTCTTGGGATAGCAGCAAGGCCCGTGGTGCAACAAGCGACCCCATAGTGTCAATGAACTTTGCTTTCCCCTGAGCACTTCCCCTGAGTTATTACCATCTCACAAGGGGTTTACAGTGCCATCTGCGGCTTCCTTTCCCCCCACAAATAACACTCAGTTATTCTAAAATACGATGCTTTAGTTTCCAAAAATGGTACTTCTACTCAGTCAAAATAAGGGAAGATGGAAATTGTGTGGGAA